TCCTTGAGGACAGGCAGGAGGAGTTCCAGTGTCTGGCAGCTGCTTCACCTCATCTCGTGTCCGTACTGCTTACCCCTGAGGGAGACCCGGATGCACTTGACATCCCGACTCCGCGCTCTTACGCGGAGGCGATAGAGGGTCCCTACTCCTCTCAGTGGCAGGCAGCTATGGATGCAGAGATGGCTTCCTGGAAGTCCACAGGCACCTACGTTGACGCTGTCCCCCCTCTTGGGGCGAACATCGTCAGTGGCATGTGGATCTTCAGGGTGAAGCGGCCGCCGGGTTCTCCGCCTGTCTTCAAGGCACGTTACGTGGCTCGTGGCTTCAGTCAGCGACAGGGAGTTGACTACTTTCAGACCTTCTCCCCCACCCCGAAGATGACAACTCTTCGGGTGCTGCTACACGTTGCTGCTCACCGTGACTACGAGCTGCACTCTCTCGACTTCAACACTGCTTTCTTGCAGGGCAGCCTGTACGAGGAGATCTGGCTGCGCCGCCCACTTGGCTTCACTGGGTCTTTCCCTCCTGGTACCCAGTGGAGTCTCCGGCGTCCAGTCTACGGTCTCCGCCAGGCGCCACGTGAGTGGCATGACACACTGAGGACTACGCTTGCGGCTCTTGGGTTTGCTCCTTCTACTGCCGACCCGTCGCTGTTTCTACGCACCGACACCTCTCTGCCGCCGTTCTACATCCTCGTGTACGTCGACGACTTGGTCTTTGCCACAGCTGACACTGCTGGACTCGCCCACGTGAAGTCCGAGCTGCAGAAGAGACACACGTGCACAGACCTGGGTGAACTGCGCAGCTACCTTGGCTTGCAGATCACCCGGGACAGAGCACGTCGCACCATTACCCTGACTCAGTCACACATGGTGCAGCAGGTCCTTCAGCGCTTCGGCTTCACGTACTCCTCGCCTCAGGCCACTCCTCTGCCTACTCGCCACTCACTCTCAGCTCTGCCTTCGGATGAGTCCGTAGAGTCGAGTGGCCCGTATCCAGAGCTTGTTGGCTGCCTCATGTACCTGATGACCTGCACACGACCTGACCTTGCATACCCTCTTAGCATTCTTGCACGCTATGTTGCTCCTGGGAGACACCGACCAGAGCACATGGCTGCAGCGAAGAGGGTGTTGCGATACTTGTGCAGTACGTCGGGCATGGGACTAGTGCTTGGAGGGCGGAGTCCAGTGGTCCTCACTGGGCACGCGGACGCTTCTTGGGCTGACGACCAGGCTACGCAGCGGTCATCGCAGGGTTACACCTTCAGTCTTGGTTCCGGCTCTGTCTCGTGGCGAGCTACTCGCTCGTCCTCTGTTCTCGGCTCCAGTTGTGAGGCTGAGATCTACGCCGGGGCCATGGCTGCACAGGAGCTTCGCTGGCTCACCTACCTGCTGACTGACCTTGGAGAGCCGCCTCGTTCTCCTCCAGTGCTGTACGTAGACAACAAGGCCATGCTGGCCTTGTGTCGAGAGCAGCGCTTGGAGCACAGAACGAAGCACATTGCTCTCCGTTACTTTCTTGCTCGTGAGCTGCAGCAGCGTGGTCAGTTGCGACTTGCGTACGTGGCCTCTCAGGCCAACACTGCTGATGTGTTCACCAAGGCACTTGCGCCTTGTGACCATCAGCGCTTCTGCACTCAGCTGGGTCTTGTACCTGTCTTGCCTCACTTGCTCTCCTCTTGACCTTACTTGTACTGTCACATATATATACCTGCTCTTGCTTGTCTAGCTCTATATATATATGTGTACTCCTGCATGTGAACTGGCCTTGTGGCCTTGTCGTTGTGCTCGGACTGTGTGGTGACGTTGTGATCCACCCTGAGCTTGCTCTGCTTTGCTTGACTGGTCTTGTGACCCCTTGTTCTCCCCCACTTTGCCTATGGGGGTGTGTCAGAACATTATATAGCTTATGCTGTTGTGTAGGCTATAGTGGGGTATCCCATAGGGGGTACAACCCAATTAGGGTTTTCTATATGTACTCACCTCATTCATAGTTCATTCATCCTCGTTCTTCATTCTTTTCATTGTGACCCCTTGTTCTCCCCCACTTTGCCTATGGGGGTGTGTCAGAACATTATAGCTCATGCATATTGTGTAGGCTATAGTGGGGTCGTCCATAAGGGGTACAACCCAATTAGGGTTAGTACTTGTACCCAATTCATTCATAGTTCATTCATCCCTTGTTTCTTTTCAACGATTCAGTGCGGGGCTGCGTGTGGGAGCGCTCCTCTCTCTTCTCTCAAGAGTTTCCTGGCGACTCTTGCTTCCTCCAGAGCCACCTCGGTGATCCTGTCCTCCGCGCGATGCGCGCGACGCTCGCCATTGGAAGAGGAGCAATGGTGACCAATGAGGTGGCATGTGAACGCGGTGATGAGCCGATACGAAGGGGCAGACGAGATACGCCGCCCGCCATAGCGGAAAACTTCAGGCCGAACCTGATAAGTTATTCGCTGGATGCTTTACGAAATATATATGTACGATTGCAATCGGAAGACTGGGGAATCTCCAACGAGGATCACCGCCTTCCACGTCGGATCGATATCGTTGCTGTGGTTGTAATGCGATTTAGCACGTGAACGGATCTAGTGGAAAATATATTGTCGAGATTGTACGATTGCAAGTTGTAGGGATTCTAGGCACCGCATTCCACGTCGGATACTGTGCAGGAAGCACGTAAACAAATCACGTGATAGGAAGGGACTGACGGAAATTGCCGCCATAAGGGCGTGTAAAATCGCCGCACCTAAAAATTCGGCCACAAGCCAAATGGCCGAATTGGCGAAATTAACCCGTTTGCGAAAACTATTAAGACGCTCGCGACCGTCGTTAATTTCGCCAAAACAAAACGAAATTGATGGCCGTTTTGAAAGTCGACTCGTATCCGACACCATGTCGACTCCAATTCGGCCAAGTAGTCGACACCGTGAGCGACTGTCACGTACGACGTCGCACGGTCTCGCAGAACGACTGAAATTTTTTATCCTGTCTAATCAGAGATTTCGCAGTCAAATGTGCGACCCCGTCGCACATACGTTCCTACTGTAGCAACTGCAAATTTTACAACTTTTTGAAACCGGCCTGGAATTCGGCCCTCAAACCTGTAAAGTTTGCAAATCTGCAAATAGTAGCTATAAATGTGACGACACGAAGTCGACCAATCCGTCGACTTTCGCGAAAGAAATGTCGACCAGAGATGGTCGACGTAAAACCGGCCAAAAGCAGATTTCGCATATTTGCGGGGATTTTACACGCCCTAAGAACGAGTTTGAGGCATTTGACGTGACGGGGATCAAGACTCCTTGATTCGAAACCAAAACCTGATTTGATTGCCTCGCAAGGGAAGAGGCGAAGAGATCAACCTTCGGCGAGATTTACCGTACTGCACCGTCTTGGAAGCCGTATAATACACTGAAAATCATATTCGATTTTGACATGCCAAGCTACCGGGCAATTACCAGTATGGATAGGTAGAAAGCTACACTTTGGACGTTCGCATACTGTATAGTTGTGTTTCTCCTTCGGAGGTGTACAGCGGGATATGTGGCTCCCGATGTGGTCCCACCAACAGGGATGCGCCGCACGAGTGAGCGACGGCACGCCACCTTAGCAGCTTTCGCCTGATGCTAATTGGCCTTTCCTTATCGCGCGCCGCAACGCGACTGGTTACCAGCTTTCCAGCAGAGCGAAGTAGTCACCTTCCACCTCACCATTGGCCACGTCATCACCATGGGGCTTCTTGTTCCACGTCAGTATGTGCTGCTCAGAGACCAATTTCTTCTTGAGGCATCTAGTGTTCATAAGTACGGAAAGGGGTGTAAACGACACTCAAACCCCAAAGGCAAACAACACTTATAGGTAGCAGCCGCATGTATCATCCCGCTGTTTTGACTGCATCCTGAGTTAAGTGTCCCAGGGGCGTCGTCATCCACTGGCCCCTAATGGCAGAGATAATTTAGGAAGATCACGAAACTGTCGGAATCAACAACGGCTGACGCGGCGGATCTTCGTCACGATAGCCACCAACGAACCGCCATTGCTGTTCGATGAGCTTACGCAAGCACAGACAGAGCAACTCCCTCGCTTTCCTATGCGCCTTCTCCTCACTTGTAGCTTGGAGGAGTTTCTTTTAGAGAATTTCGAATCAAGTGCTCTGCATTCAGTCGACGAGCGTACCCATAGCCATAGCTTCCGTTGCAGTAGTTCGTGCAGGTCAGCAGTCAGTCGCTTGGTCATCGTGAGTGACACGCATTGTTGCGTTGCATTTTCGTTACACCTCATCTTACCTCAGGAGCCTGCCCATTTTTTCTGCACTATTTCGTCCAATCACCCTTAGTATTCTGATCTCGCTGGCACTCGGCCGTTCGCCGTCTCGTCAGGAGCGACTGGCTTTCTGAAGGCTTTTCAGGGGAAGGATGGAAATCATTTGACGATGTGCTAGCCGTTGATTTCCATCGCTCATTGCTCTTACCACGCCTGCGCGTACTACTACTTAGCAAGAACATATCAGTGCAACAAGTAAGAGTCGAGGGACTAAACAGGGTTACCAGGATGTCGCTGACTCGTCAGGTCGCAGTCAGTCGCGCGACTTTCACAGCCTGCCAGCCCACTCCATCTAGATTTTCCAGCGGGAATGGCATCGGACACGTCAGCACCTCCCTCGTCTCCGCTTCTTACGGCATCTTGAATCCCTCTGCGCGACAAAATCGAAGGCGACGACGGGCGACGTCGCTCGTATCACGACCCTGTGCGATAGGATCCGAGTCCCTTTGTTGTGCGAGTTTAGAGTCGATAGTTTCGTCCTCTTACTTAGGCTCGCGAACCCCGCAACACTTTCGCACAACCCTAAGCAGCAATGGTATCGGACCTGTAACATTTCGCAGCAGCCTCCATGGCGAACATTTCTGTTCGGGTTACCACAGCAGACACCTATTCCGTCATCCATACCATCCAAAATCGGGTTACCGACAACTCGCGTGTAGGCGCGGAGTCACTGTAGCAACCATGGCAACTGCCGACGCAGGATTAGGTTCTGGATTGCGTCCAGGTTTGGAAGGGACAGGGTTAGAGCTAGCGGTAGGTTCGGAGGGGCAGGGATGGCGGCGGTCGGTGGCAGTAATGGAGGCGGTTCGGCAGCTGGAGGCCATGATGCGCGAACCGGCCGCTGTGCTCGATAGCATGAAGGTACGTGACAGTAAAAATGTGGTAATAGCGGTGGGTGTTAAGGGTATGTGACAATAACGAGGGGAACGTGGCGGTTGGTGGCAGTAATGGAGGCGGTGAGGCAACTCGAAGCCATGATGTGCGAGCCGGCCGCCGTGCTCGATAGCATGAAGGTGCGTGACAGTACGCAGGTGATAATAGCGGCGGGTGTATGTGATGATAACGGGGGTAACGACTGGAAACAGGACAAGCTATCCCTGGAGAATCTCGCGATCCGCATCATCTGTTTCCACCTGGGCGCCTGCTTACCTTCCCCTTCCCCTCCCGCACACTCCCGTGTCCCGCTGTCGCATACGGTAACAGGACAAGCTCTCTCTTTCTGGAGCATCTCGAAATCCGCATCATCTGTTTCCACCTGGACTCTCAGTTACCCGCAGACTCCCGCCTTCCCCATCCCGTGTCCCGTGCCCCTCCTTTCCTGTCCCCTTCCTTCTCGCACTCGCTAACAGGACAAGCCCATCTCGAGATCCTTATTCCCTGTTTCTTCCGCGTCTCGTCCTTACATCCCACACGCTAACAGGACAAGCTCTCTCGGGACGATCTCGAGATTCTCATCGCCGTGTTTCATTTGGTCGCTTACCCGCCTCTCCATCTCGCCCCCCCCGTCTCTTCCGCATGTCTTCCCCATCCCCCCACCTCCTCCCTCCCACGCTGTAACAGGACAAGCTATCTCTCGAGGATCTCGAGATTCGCATCGCCGTGTTTCATTTGGTCGCTTACCCTCCTCTCCATCTCGCCCCCCCCCCCCCCCCCCCCGTCTCTTCCGCATGTCTTCCCCATCCCCCCACCTCCTCCCTCCCACACGCGAACAGGACAAGCTGTCTCTCGAGGATCTCGAGATTCTCATCGCCTACTTCGCCCAACAGGGCCGCGACATGTGGCAGGCGCTCGAGGTCTACGATTGGATGGTCCGCGGTAACCGCGTGGAGCGCCGAACGCGGCGCCTCATCCACGTCATCATGGACCAGCGCCTCGGGCAGCTGCTACAGGAAGGCTGCCCGACGGAAAAAGTTTTGCGGCTGGTGGGCAGGATGGTGGATCTTGGGCTGCCCCCGGATTTCCCGCTGAAAAGAATGGTGGGGGAGGAGCTGTGGGATAGAGGGGCGGTGGCGGAAGTTGTGAAGCTTCTGCGAATGTTCCGGAACGAGGAGGAAAGTGCGCGGAAGGAGCAGGGGGTGGTGGCTGGAGTGAGAGTTGTGGGTTGGAATGAGAGCGAGGAGGAAGAGGAAGAGGAGGAAGAGGAAGAGGAAGAGAAAGAGGAGGGGGAAGATGAGGAAGGAGAAGAATGGGAAGAAAGTGAGGTGGGGAGTGTGTGGAGTGGGTTAAGTGAGGATGATGTGGAAACTGGTAGTGGTGGGCAGAAAGATGGGGAGGCGAGGCCATCTGACTGCGCAACTCAAGGTAACGCATTCTCATTACCCCCGCCCGCCCGCCTCCCCCTCTCTCACCACCTTTCCCCTCTTCACCGCCTCCTCTTCTCTCAAACTCAACCCTTCCCCTCCCCCACCCCCCCCCGCCCCTCCCCCGCCCCCACCCGCACCTCCTCTTCTTCCTCCTCACCGCCTTTCCCCTTCACTGCTTTCCCCCTTCCATCAGTCTCGCGCTTGCTCCTGCCGTCATTTGCTTTCCAGGTCTCCATCTATCTGCTGCTGTTGCTCTCCGCACCTTGCCTCCCGCACCTTGCTTCCCGCACCTTGCACCTCTCTACAGCTTCTCCGTAATATTCTGTTGCCATGGATTCTCCATTTTCCCTCCATCACCCCCCTCTCCCCCACCCTCGCTCACTTACAGCCTTGCGATTCTTGAGCCGCCTAAAAACAATATCCACTTTTTCCTTCCCTTCCTCCCTCCCTCCCTCGCTCCCTCCCTCCCTTGCTCCCTCGTTTGCAGCGCCGCAGAGGGTGAGTGCCCCGTTGAGCGCGCGGCAGGAGATTCAGGAGCGGCTGAAGCTGCAGCTGCTCGTGCGAGCGAGCGATCGTGGGATCACTGCCAGCAGCAGCGGCAGCAGCGGCAGCAGCGGCGGCAGCGGCAGGAGCGGCGACAGTAGCAGCACCAGCGGTGGCAGCAATGAGGAGATTGTTATACAGAGAATACGGGGTCCAGGGGTGGGCACGGGAGCAGCAGAGTCAAGGAGGCAAGATGGGCGATTGTCAGGAGTGGAAAGGAGTGGGGTGCGTTCTGAAGAACATCAGAGCAGCAGAGCAGGAAGTACCGAGGACAGCAGCAGAGGAGTAAGCTCAGGTGGGGTAACTGAGGCGAGGGGAGGGCAGGAGCAGGGGAAGAGGCCGGGAGGCAGAGAGTCAAAGTCAAGAGAGGCAGAAGCAGAGAGGGAGGGGGATGGAGCAGCAGCAGTGGCAGCAGCAGAGGCAGCAGCAGAGATGGCAGCAGAGGCGGTGGGGGATGAAGCGGCAATAAGAGCAGCAGAGGAGAGGGAGGATCTGGTGGGGCTGCTGCTGCTGCGAGCTGTTAGCGCCGGGCAGTACCGGCAGGTGCTGCCGCTGCCGCGCATGCTGAGAGAAGCCGGGGTGGAGATGGGCGTGGGGGGGTTCAGTGCGGTGCTGACCAGTGCTGTGAAGGAGCAGGAGAAGCTGAGTGTGGCGCGGAGGGAGCTGAGGGACCTGCAGCAGATGGGCGTGGTGGGGCAGCTGTCTCCTCTGGACGGGCTTCTGCTGGAGGTGAGAAAATAGGCATCTGATCATGCCATTTTGACAGGGGCGACTACTGAATGACGAGGGAATTGATGCAAGGGGAGAGGAGGTAAGTGACCTTCAGCAGATGGGCGTGGTGGGGCAGGTATCTCCTTTGGACGGGCTTCTGCTGGAGGCGAGAAAATAGGCATCTGATCATGCCATGCTGATAGGTGACTGCTGAGTGATGAGGGAATGATGGGCGTGGTGGGGCAGCTGTCCCCTCTGGACGGGCGCTGCTGTAGGTGAGGAAATTAGACAGGCGTTAATCACATACTGATACTGCCATAGCGAGTGGTGAGGGATGTCCACGCTGGGCAACGCTGGGCAGCGCTGGGCAGATCTGGGCAGCGCTGCAGCATGAAGCTACTTCCAGGGCGCTTCAAGAGACACTTCCATCCTCTCAGTGGCCTCCTCTTAACCCCCTCCTTTCACTCCTCCCCTTATCCCTGCCACTTGCACACATGCAGGTTCATGGGGCGACGCTGAGGCACGAGGCAGAGCAAGTGGTGCAGTGGTGTGCAGAGGAGTGCGAGGGCGACCTGCAGAGGCTTAGAGAGGCGGCTCGGGAGCGAGAAAGGCAGCGGGAGGAGCGGCTCGCAGTGCTTAGACGGGCGGGCAGGGGGGGATACGAGGTGAAGGGGCGAGAGACACAGCTGTACCAGCAAGTAGCAGAAGATGGGGAGGGAAGTAGCAGGCCAAGAGGAGCACAGGCGAGTAGCAGCTTCTGTGGAGTAGTTAGCGGGCAGTCACCTCCCGGGAAGTTGAGTGGGGGAAACATTAGGGAAGAGGAGGAGGGACATAGAATAGGTTCGCAGGAGCGTGATGAGTCCTGGTTGCTGCTGGACTTGCATAGTAGCAGGGGAGGAGAGGTGGAGGAGGGGGTTGGGAGCGAACGGACGCATGATGAGAGGGTTGAATTGGAAGAGCAACGAGGGACGCAGAGAGTAGAGAAGGAGAGGGAGAGGGAGAGGGTAGGGGATTGGGAGCAGCGGTTGTTAATAGCAGGGGAGCTCGCAGCAGCACAGGCGCAGGAAGAAGGGGAAGCACACTCAGCCACGAATCTGAGGCAGCACGAGGGGGAAGAGCAAAGACTAGAGGAGGAGAGGGTGACTGGGAGGGGGAGGGTACTTGAAGCAAGCCAAACCTCACCTGGAGAAGGGAAGGAGCTAGATCTTATGAGAAGGGTGCAATGGTCAGAAAAGGAGAGGGAGAGGGAAATTCAGAGGCTAGAGCGGGAGAGGGAAAGAGACCTGTGGGTGCTGCAAGCGGGGGAGGTGGCAGCAGCGCAGGCGCAGGCGGGCATGCAGGGGAAGCTGGTTACTCTCTGGTTCAACGCGGGCCACCCCGAGCAGGCGGAGCGTGCGCTGTGGGGCGTGGTGGAGAAGGGTGGGCTCGTGTCTGGGGATCTGGCGGCCAGTGTTGCGGGGCTGTATGCTTACTGTGGCGACCACATAGCACTGAACAGGTGGGTGAGGGGGGGGAGAGGGGTGGAGAGCTCCCCACAGGGGAAAAGAGTTGTGGGCCTATAGCTGGGCTCAAGAGTTGTTGGGAAGAAGGGGGGGGGGAAGGGTGAAATGGGGGAGGGCGTGCATGAATTATGGGGAAGAGGGGGGAAGGAAGGGTGAAAAGGGGGAGCGCGAGGATGAGTTATGGGGAAGAGGGGGGAAGGAAGGGTGGACGCTTTGAGTTGGGTGGTTGGAGAGAGAAGGGGTCGGGGTGGTGTATGCAGGAAAATCACATTCGAAAACTCAGAAAGCAACTCTTTCTTCCGTGTTGCCTCCTTCCCTCCCTCCCGCTCTGCCTCTCTCCATCTCCTCCCTCCCTCTCTCTCTCTCTCCCCCCCCTCCCCCCCCCCCCCCCCTCACACCGTTGTCCCATACCAGCTTCATACAACGGTTGGAGGCGCTGGGAAGTCCCCTGGACGAGTGGGCGTATGCGCTCATGGTGGGGGGTGCGCTCAAGGGCGGGCACGTGGACGTGGCTGCATTCACTGTGAGGGAGGTGAGGAGGAGAGAGCATTGATTCTGCAGGTGCGGTGGAGGTGAGAATGGTTGTGGATGTATGTGTGTGCTCATGGTGGGGGATGCACTCAAGGGTGGGCATGTGGACGTGGCTGCTTATGCTGTGAGGGATGTGGAGAGGAGAGAGTGGGTTGGTGTGCATGGTTTTGGTGCAGGTGCTTTTATTAGCAAACAGGTGGGCTCCAGAGGTCTTACGTCCATCAACTTAGATGGTTCTAGAACGACGAGACAAACTCCATGAAATGCGGAAATGACGAAAGGTGGAGAGGAGAGAGTGGGTTGGTGTGCATGGTTTTGGTGCGTGGTTGGTATGTGGGCAAAGCCACCCCATCACATTGGCATGATCGATTCTAACGGCCATCAACTGCCTGTAGTGTTGCTCTGTGCACACTGCTCCTTCCCCTCTCTCCCTCCCCTCCCTCCCTCGCCCCCTATCGTACTTATCTACCCTCCCTCATCCACCCCTTCCCTCTCATCAGCTGTGAGGCACCGCTATGCACCATCCTCTCATCACAACTCTGCACCGCTATGCACCATCCTCTCATCACAACTCTGCACCGCTATGCACCATCCTCTCATCACAACTCTGCACCGCTATGCCCCCTCGCTCGCACCCCCCCACCCCCTCCCCCCCGATGCACTGCAGATGGTGCGGAGGGGCATGCAGCCTAACGCACTGCAGCTGGCTCTCGTGCTGCGGCGCCTGCAGCCGGGGGAGGCGGGGGTGGAGGCGTATCTGGGTCTGTGCGCTGCCTCCCCACCCTTACCTCACATCCACCTCTCTTCCCCCCCTATGTCCGCAGATGGTGCGGAGGGGCAGGCATGCAGCCAAACGCACAGCAGCTCGCTCTAGTGCTGCGGAGGTTACAGAGTGGTGATGCGGGGGTGGAGGCGTATCTGAGGCTGTGCGCCGCTGCTTCCTCATGTCCCCCATCCCCACTCTCACGTCCTCACCCACCTGAACCCCCATCTCCCTTCCTCAGCAGATGGTGCGGGAGGGGCATGCAGCCCAGTGCACAACAGCTCGCTTGGTGCTACGAAGGTTAAGGGAGTGGAGGCGTATCTGAGGCTGTGCGCTGCTTTTTGATCCACCTTTTTATTGCCCACTTACCCCCACGTCCCTCCCCCCTCTCCCCCCCGTGCACTGCAGATGGTGCGGAGGGGCATGCAGCCCAACGCGCAGCAGCTCGCTATCGTGCTGCGGCGGTTACAGCGCGGTGATGCGGGCGTGGAAGCCTATCTGGGGCTGTGTGCGGCCCTGGCGGACGTGGGGTTGCTGGAGCCCACCCCACCTTCACCTCAAATCTACCTCCCTTCTCCTCTCCTCTCCCTCTGGCCCACAGATGGTGCGAAGGGGCATGCAGCCCAACGCACAGCAACTGGCACTCGTACTGCGGAGGTTACAGCGTGGTGATGCGGGAGTGGAAGCCTATCTGGGGCTGTGTGCGGCCCTGGCGGACGTGGGGCTGCTGGAGCCCACCCTCGTGTTCCTCTATGTGGACCTGCTGCGCCTCTGCATCCTGCGCATGCTATAGACGGAGAGCACATGTCACAGAGGAGTGGAGGCCTATCTGGGGCTGTGTGCTGCCCTGGCAGACGTGGGGTTGCTGGAGCCCACCCTCGTGTTCCTATATGTGGATATGCTGCGCCTCTGCATCCTGCCCATGCTGTAAAAGGTGAGGGCGGAAATAACGTACAAGCCCTCTGCACGCTGTGATGTGGGGAGGCGGGCGTGGAGGCATATGGTATTTGGGGCAGAGCGCTGTCCTGGCGGACGTGGGGTTGCTGGAGCCCACCCTCGTGTTCCTTTTATGTGGACCTGCTGCGGCTGTGTTCCTGCGTTGCTGCTACTGCGTGGCTGCTGTAGCCCTCGTTCGTGGTCGTCTATGTCGACCTGCTGCGCCTCTGCTCGGTTCAGCAACAACGGACAGCAGCTGTACGGCACAGCTGCGCCCATGAGAGCTGTCTAGAACGCCCGTGCTCTCGGTCGAGCGGTTGTGTTGCGGCAACACAAACAACCGCCACACAGCCGCGTGTTTTTAGGCGCCTCAACAGCCGCGCTTGCCCTTGACGTAAGCTCGCGAAACTGTTGCACTTTTTACCAGTACACTTCATGCCACACATTGTGGCTTGCATATTGCTATGTATTTTCTGCTGTATATTTGTTGTACGCTTATGCATCGATGCCATACTTGCCCATGCAATATTCCCGGTTGGGTGTGGCCAGATTGGGGCGAGACACTATCCAACACGCATGGTAATACACACGGAGGGAACCAACCACTACCAGTACCATAGCTACAAGTGTTCCTCATTCCACTCATGGCAAGGAAGCTTACACACCATGGCCCTAACTGGCTTTGTCAAGCCATTGAGAAACATTTGCGGTAGTATGGTATCAACCTACGGTATTGCCTATTGCCTAAGTAAACGACAACCCCTCCTTCCTCCGCCTGGGTCTGAAGAGCAGCCCCTGCAGCACACCAGTGGCCGAGCTGACTTTTGAGTCGACTCAAAAGTCACCACGTTACAATTGGAAAGCGACAACCCCTCCCTCCTCCGCCTGGGTCTGAAGAGCAGCCCCTGCAGCACACCAGTGGCCGAGCCTCGGATTTCACTGCTCCAAGACCCAACCTTCCCAACTGTCCTCTCGGCCGCTTCCTCTGCTTCCTCTGCTGCTTTCTCTTCTGCTGCTTGCTCTTCTGCCTTACCCACTACCTGCGGCCAGGTTCTGCTGCACTGCTTCACAGCGCACCCAACAAGCAGCTGTGTCGACGGCAGGTTTTTCTGCTTCCGCTGCTGACAAGCCTGGGTACTACTACCACCTGGCTTCTGTGGCATCTCAAGGCAGCATTGCGGCAGGTACTTCTGCTTCTGCTCCTGCCACTCCCCTCGCGCCTCATCCTCTGCTCTCCTTTCATCCTCTGTTCTCCCTTCTCCCTCTGCTCTCCCTCCTCTTCCTTCCTCCTGTGCCTCCACTCCATCAGCTTCATCGTTCTGCTCTCTCTGCTGCTGAGGTGCCACCCTACATGACCTCCCTACCTTTACTGCTGCAGGTGCCGCTGCTGCTCCTCCCTGAGAACCACTCCTCTCCACACATGCCGCTGCTGCTGCTGCTGCCTCCCTCTCTGCTGCTGCTGACCTTCCCCCAGCACACGATGACTCAAGCCCAGCAACACATTCATTCTCCTTGGCGACATACCGTCGCAGCAACGCCCTGATGCTGCCTGCACTGCTCACCCCTCTGCCATCGCTCACTCCTTCCAGTATCGACTCAATAGTGCTCCCTACTCCGTCGTTCGAAGCACCCCTCTTGCCGCCCCCATTGTTGCTGCTTTCTGCACTACCCGTGCCTCCTTGAGTATTCTGCTCTTCTCCACCACTCCTTCCCCAGGTGCTTCCCCTGCTGATGCTGCGGGATGCAATGCCCCTAGTTGGAGTGGCATTGGAGCATCTGGACCGTTGGATCATCGACCGCAAGGCAGGGCCCGGGCCTGATGAAGTGCGTGGTGGTGAGGGGGAAGTGAGGAGAAGAGTTGAGGAAAAGAAGAGTAAGAAGCAGCGAGAGCAGATGGACAGGCGGCGCGAGAGGAGGGTCCACTGAGGGGCAAGCGACAGAAACAAACAAGCAGCAAAGCACATATGAAACAGCAGCACACGTGGATCGATCAACTAGGAACAACAATCTCCCAATGCAAGCTGAGTATCAATCCGACTCAAACATCACCAACAGCCGCAGTAAGGGCAATCTCCAACCAAAATCCCCCAAAAGTAAGAGGTAGTTTACTCAGCGATCGCGCTCGAGCAATGAGCCTGCGGATCCCCCTGCCCCGGTCAAAAGAGCTCTGCCTCACCACTCCCAGGATCACCCCTCCTTCCCGCTCCCACTCCCGCTCCCCCTCCTCCCCCTCTTCCCCTCCCTCCTCCCTCTCCGTCGCCACCTCTTTCTCCTTGGTCGCCTCTTCCCCGGCCTCGCCCCCGTTCTGTTCATCATCCTCCTCACCTATTTCTCTCTCCCTCATGCACCCCGCCAGCTGCTCCTCCTCCTCCTCCCTCTCCGTCGCCACCTCTTTCTCCTTGCTCGCCTCTTCCCCTGCCTGGCACCCGTTCTGCTCGTCATCATCCTCCACACTTCTTACTCTCTCCCTCATGCACCCCGACTGCTGCTGCTCCAGCTGCTGCTCCTCCTCCTTCTGCTTCTCCTCCTTCTGTTTCTCCCCCTCCTGCTCCTCCTCCTTCTGCTTTTCCCCCTCCTGCTTCTCCTCCTTCTGCTTCTCCTCCTTCTGCTGCTCCTCATCCTCTAAGTTAATGGCGTGAGTATCACACCCAACCAAAACAAGCACACCCTCTTCGCCCGGTACTCTCTCCTCCCCTGCTTCGTCCCTCTCTGCTTCCTCAGCCCCCCCCTCCTCTTCTACTGACTTTTCCCCTGCACCATCCCCCTCCGCCACGCCTTCCCCCTCCGCCACGCATCCCCCCTCCGCCACGCCTTCCCCCTCCGCCACGCCTCCCCCCTCCGCCACGCCTTCTCCCTCCGCCAATCCTTCCCTCACGGATCCTTTGCCTGCTCTGCACTCACCTTGCTCGCTCCCCATTCCGCCTTGCACTGCCGCTCCTGCTACTCTTCCCGCTGTTTCAGCCACCTCATTCACACCAGCCACAGCAGCCGCAGCAAAAGCGGAAGCAGAAGCCAAAGTAGCACCAGCAGCAGCGGTAGAAGTAGCAGCAGCACAATCATTATCAGTACCACCACCATTAGAAGCAATATCAGCACCATCATCAGACGCACCAGAAGCAGCGGCAGCAGCAGCAGCACCTCCAGCTGCAGGAGCAACACAGGTATTGGCATCACCACCCGCAGCAGGCCCATCGTTCCCATCACCAGCACCAGCACCAGCACCAGCATCAGCAGCAGCAGCAGCAGCACCAGCAGCAGCAGCAGCAGCACCACCGCCACCGTCTGTACCTCCGAGCACGTTGCTCATCTTCCACTCCCGCTGCCAGCTACCGCTCCTTCCCCTCCCTGGTTCCTCTTTCCTACAGCTGTCTTCCGTCCTCAATACTGACATCTTCACCTGCTCATTGTAGTTGCAACATACGCTATTCTCAACCCCTTGTACCGCACCTCGCACCGCCACATTCCTTTCCACCGCATTCCCCAGTACCTGCTGTTGCTTTTTCTTCTGCCCGAATCCAGCCGTTTCCAGCCCCGACGAATTCCCTGCTGCCACGTGCCGCCCCCCTGCCTCTGTTTGAGATGACACGTTGCCATCCACCCGTTTTAGGGCGCATCGGTTATGGATCACGTTCGTTAAAGCGCCTCTCGCTCTCTCGTATTCTTCGCCACCGCCCGTTTCTCCTTTACTACGACTCCCAGCACCAACACTTGTGAGCCGACTCAACAGGTTCTCAGCACTGCCTTCGGCACGATTGCAGCAGCTTAGAGCACCACCACACTCTCTCGCCTCATCCTCCCTCTCCACCTTCTCCTCCTTCCCCTCCTCATCCCTCTCCTCCTTTTCTTCCATCTCGCCCACGTCAAACGTCGCTCGTTTAAAACCACTCAGAGCCTGTGAGTCATGCGCAAGAACATGCGTCTGAGATGCTCCCACAGATGGACGAACAGGATTCATTCTCGCCGTTCCATGCGCCCCTCCCGCGCCATTCTCGCGTACAATCCGCTTCGAAGCCGCGCCTCGAGGAGAAATTCCGCTCTCCCCCGTTTGCCTCGCAACGCCCACACTAGGCGTTCCGCGGATGGTCCCCGCAACGAGAAGGTAGGGGCGGCTTGCGCCAGCCTGGCGCAAATCACCGCTCTGACAAGCGCTATGGTCCGACCGTTTGCGCCGGGGGCCTTGATCCCCGCCGCGGGGCGTTTGATTTCCGCGGGCAGGAATGCTGGGTTGGCAGAAAGTCTGTCGCGCGTGCGCAAGGGAGGGCGGGAGTGGGAGAGGGGAAGGATGGCGGGGGAAGCGCAAGGGCTTGGCCGAAAGCGCGTAGTAGGACAGAGGGGGCGGTACGCGCCCACTTGCGCCAACTCCCGCATCTATTCCGCTTCCGCAATTATTAATTCCGCCTTCGCAGTTACTCGTTCCGCTTCCGCGGTTACCGCTGGTTCCGCTGTCCCCCCGGCCGCTACTACTGGTCTCGGCGCACGTATGCAGACAGTCTCTCAGGTAACGGTCTACCCAGTCCTTCCGCGAAGCTTCCTCTTCCTGCCTCGACCTCTCCTCATGTGATTCGACGATCTCCGGAAGGCGTCGCTGGTTGGTCGCGGTCACGCGGTGATGGCTGCCCTCGCCGTCGCTGGCGTCGATGTACCCCTTAGAAGCTTCCCCGGCGTCAATGTGGGCCCCTTCCATACAACCACATATAAGCATTTGTACCTCCCTGCAAAAGCAGCAGCACTGCGTTTCGCCGCGGCAGTCGTCACTTGCGCTGGTCGAACGACTGGACTCCGGAGCGCGAGTACGAGCCTGCCGCGAACCTCCTAATCTTCCTGAACCCGCGGTTCCATCGCTCCGTTCACCACGTGCATCGCTCCGTTTTCCACGTGTATCCCCCCGTTTGCCACGTGTGTGACTCAATTTGCCACGTGTATCGCTCCGTTTGTTACGGTAGCAGCAGTGCCCATTCCTTTGATTCTGCACGGCTGCTGAAGCGAGAAGCTTTCGCAGCTGCTGTATCGAATCCGTCGAGGCCGCTAATAACGGGGATTGGGGAGAGCGGGAGGGAGAGGTGGAGGAAGAGGAGGAGGGGCTGACTTGGGGTGATGGGGTGAGCGCAGGCGAGAGCGTATCAGGCGAGTCGCAGCCGTCGTCAGAATCGCATAAACTGTCGCTACATTTTGAACCTGGATTGGTTACGAGTTCGCAAACTCCCAAGTTGTCGCCGTGACGCGGTGTGACATGCACCTTCGTCGTCTCGTGCAGTCCATAAATATTCCATGCGACATTGTGCGAAACCGAACGAAACGCAGCACGCGACGCCATGTCGTGGTAGCTTGGGGCGAAACGATCAATTCATATCCACATGCAAATGTCGAATATCTACAATCACTAGCATGGGGGCTCAACCGTTGACTACTTAAGGGGCGCCTCAAAAGCCGGACTTCAAGGTATTCCCAAGCGGCAAATATAGTATAGAGCACTTCCACGATGCCACGCCAAGCCGCTAATAATATCCTGCTTTGGAAGATTAGGACATGGTGCGAATTAGCCGAGAGTTTACTGCGCATCAACCCGACAACTTCCATACTCATTCTGAAAGGATTATCAAAAGGTGAACGTGGTTAAGGATAGGTGGGAAAGGGTTTCTCGTGTTGCTTCTGCCTGCGCGTGGAGCCGCGCGTGGGATTTTGACCATCTCGCGCTGCGACCAGCCGACTCCTCGGGCCAACGGGAGGGCGGAATTTCCAAGAAATGAAAGTTGGCCCCACAGCAGGGGTGCAGCTGAGTCGACCTGACGTGACGGCTGCTGATCCAGGCGAACGCACCGAACAGGGCTGTCGCTACAAGGGCAAATGCCCTTAATGCCCTGAACATTAAGGATTGAGTTCGGCCTAGGTCCCCGAATTTAAGGGTTGGGTTTCAGGTCAGCCCGTCTGCCTAAAGTGCTGTGCTCGGGGCTAACCCGGATTTCAAGTATGAGTCTTGATGTTAGCCCTTTCCCCTTCGAACTGATTCCTCGCCGTACCTCCCTCCCCTCTCCCCACCCGCCCCATTTCCCGTCATCCCATTTCCAGGTGCAGTATAACTCTTCCCAGAGCCAGTTTCGAATGCTCTGTGAACTCTCGAGGTCAGGACCTGAAATGGTTTTTTTGAAGTCAGAACCTTAAGTGGTTCTAGTACAAACCGTAGGTTTCCGCTTGGAATGTCAGTCCTTATGTTTTCTATCCGCGAAGAGAACCAAGATTCTGCCTTAGGTCGCAACAAGGAAGTGGGAATGCAACGGGCGGCCAGTGAATACTTAGTGCTAGATCTGGGTGAAGCTACACACACAAGTACTGGAGAGGTCCTAGTACCTCACCCTTACAATTTTGAGCGGGTTAGGCGTCTTTCCGCTAAGAGGTTTCATTCAGTGATTTAGCCAGGCGCGTGAAGAATCAATTCGGATGGGCAGTGCAAATCCAGGGTGATTTCTTGTGTAGCAAAAGTGCATGACACTTTGTAGCCCTGATTTCAAGTGTTGAGTTTGCCCCAAAACGTAAATTTAAGGGCAAATTTCTGGGCAGCTCAGCCTTCCAAGTTCTGGCCCCAGAGCAATCGACAGCCCTGGCACCGAACCGACCAACAGATGTGGCATTGATCTGACACCTGACGAACCGCCAACATTCGGAGAAGGCGCTTCGCTAATCGATAGAAGGAGGTTTCTTAGTTTGAGAAACATGTAAAATCTACGTATACAAAGCATACTTCCGTCTTGCACATCAAATCATAAACATCTATAGCACTCATGTCAAACACTTACACTTGTGAACAATAACTCATTACATTAGCATATCCTCATTTCAGACAGTTCTGCATCATGGAACGCTCTTCTGCTTCTTCCTCGCGAGAAACCGGGCACGAGCATCGCTCACCTTGTCTACTGCTGATACCTTCACACTCTTACTAACACCTGACGAACCGCCAACATTCGGAGAAGGCGCTTCGCTAATCGATAGGCGGTTTCTTAGTTTGAGAAAGACGTATACAAAGCACACTTCCGTCTTGCACATCAAATCATAAACATCTATAGCACTCGTGTCAAACACTAACTACACTTGTGAACAATTACTCATTACATTAGCATATCCACATTTCAGACAGTTCTGCATCATGGAACGCTCTTCTGTTTCTTCCTCGCGAGAAACCGGGCACGAGCATCACTCACCTTGTCTTCCGCCGACACCTTCACACTCTTCTTATCACCACCCTCCAATGGCTTGCTGACACCTGGCACACTATCTTCACCAGAAACCCCACCAGCACCATCCCCCCCACCAGCAGAACCCCCCTCACGCCCTGCTCCACCAGCCTGTCTCGTCTCATCCTCGCCCGCACCTTCCTGGCTGCTTCTCAGAGGCAAGTCATCTTCCCTGCTCGCATCAGGACCAGCAGCAGCACGCGCAGCAGCAACACCACTCCTTCCCACACCCCCACTTCCTTCCTCTCCACCACTCTCCTCCTGATCCCTCCCCGCACTCACAGCACCTTCCTGTTCCCCATCCCCACCCACCACTGGAGAAGCTCCCCCGAGCACCCTTTCCCGCTCAGCTGACAACACAGCAGGTGCCTCCCCCTGCTTGCCCCGCCCCATCGGCTCTCCCACTGGCAGCTCACGCTCCTTGCTCCCTGATCTCTGCTTCTCCCCCTCCTCCCCCCCTGCCAACCTCCCACTGGGCTTCACTCCGGTCTCTGCTTGAGCAGTCGGCGCACCTGGGGACTTTGCTTGAGCATCCTGTGCCCGGTACAGGTTGCGGTATAGATCTGTCAGGTCAGTCCGCTTGGTCACCTGGAGGAGACGTGGGGGCAGGAGGGGGAAAGGAAGGGGGAGAAGGCGGGAAAGGGGGGGGGGGGGAGGGAGGGGAAGGGGAAAAGAGGGAAGGGGGGAAGGGAGGGCAGAGGGGAAATGGGGGAAAAAATGGGGGGAAGGGAAGGAGGCGGAAGGAGATGAAGGGTAAGAGTGCTGAAAAACCTGATGCCAGTTGTGATACTGGTCTGACAAATCGGATTGCTTGGCCACCAGGGGGAGAAGCGGGGGAAGGGGGCGGGAATGGGAAGAGACGGAATGCAATGAAGGGTTGAGAGTCTTGGAAGTAATGAAGGAAGGGAAGAGTCTTGAAAGCAGTACAGCACTATAGACAACAGAGGAGACTAGAGGGGAAACTGGGGAGGAGCAACGGGAGGAAAGGGGGAAGTGAGGGGGAAGGATGGGAGGGTGGAAATGGGGCCACAGCAAAAATAAGGGAGGTTGGGGCGGAAGAGAAAAGTGGGGGCAGGAAGGGTAAGGAAACGTGGAAGTGAGGGGAAGGGGGCAGGTGGGAAGGGGCCCACAGCAGAATTCAGGAGTAACGGTTCCAATAAGGGAGGATGCGGCGTAAGGGAAGGAGAAGGGGAAGCGAGGATTTGGACAGCAGGGTGGGAGGAGGACAGAAGTAGAAATCACAATTGTGCTCTTAGAGACCAGCGTGAAGAGAGGTTTTATCATCATCACTTGATGGTACAGGGGAAAAGGGCAAGGGAGGGCAAGGGGAAAAAGGCAAGAGGCAAAATGCATGTCCTCATCCACCTCCCCATGCCCATCCCCATCCCCATCCCCACCCATCCCCATGCCCATGCCCATGCCCATCCCCATCCCCATCCCCATCCCCACCCATCCCCATGCCGATCCCATCCCCATCCCCATGTCCATGCCCATTCCCATGCCCATGCCCATGCCCATGCCCATGCCCATGCCCATGCCCATGCCCATGCCCATGCATATTCAACAAGTACCCATCCACCCTCCCTCCTCACATCATTAGCCGCCTCCTCGGCCTCTTTCCTCTTCTCCTCCGCCAGCCATCGCTGCCTCTCCGCCAGCTTCTCGCGGTAAGCGCGCGTCACAAACCGCTCCTTGCCTGCATACTCCTCCTCCTCCTTGGCGCGCTCCTTCGCCAGCAGCCGCTCCTGCACCAACTCCTTCTCCTTCTCCCTGTCTTTGGTGGTTTTTAACAGGTTCGGAATGTAGCGCGCCTGCAGGAAAGGGAGAATCAGACACAAGGACAATGAAAGGGAAGGGACAAGACCTGTGGTTTCAGCAGCCGCTCCTGCACCAGCTCCTTCTCCTTCTCCCTCTCCTTGGTCGTCTTCAGCAGGTTTGGGATGTACCGCGCCTGCAAAAGGCAAATGCAAGGAGAAATAAGGGAAAGGAACAAGATCCTTTAATCTCGGATTCCTTTCCTGTTCCAACAGCCACTTCCACACAGTTCCTGTTTCCTTCTCCCTTTTCCCTCTCCAGTGCTTTGCTTTCGTTATGACTGCGCTGCGCATCAAAAGCACTCTCTTTCCGCTGCTTCCTGTCTGTCACTGTGACACCTGGGTTGCTGCTCATGAAGATGGAGATGCCACAATGGAGCCAGCATGAATGAGGAAGAGGACAAAATGGTGAATGTGCTGAACTTATTGCTTCAAGGGAAACGAGGAAAACGAGAGAAAATGTCCATTTGAGATAAGCCTGCTGTGCCATACGCATGGAGGAGCATGCGACCATCAGCACCATTACAGCACGGCGCACTCCACTATTGAACCGTGCAGCACCGCACCGCACCCACCTGTCTCTGAACAACCTTCCTCGCGGTGTGAACGTGGTCGTAAAACTGGTCGTAGTCAAACACCGACAGGCTGCCTCGTACTGCTGCTTTGCAGCACAGGACTCGACTGCACTGCACCCACCTGTCTCTGCACGGCCTCTTTGGCTCGCGAGGTCCTAGCGGCGTGAATGTGGTCGTAAACCCCGTCGTAGTCAAGCACAGACGGACTGCCTTGTACAGCTGCTATCGCGCAGCACCCCACCGCACTACACCGCACTCGACCCACCTGTCTCTGCACGGCCTCCTTGGCTCGCGAGGTCCTGGCGGCGTGGATGGTGTCGTACACCCCGTCGTAGTCAAACACTGATGGGTCCTCCGCCATCGCCGCCTCGTGCTGCTGCTATTGAGGCGCCTCAGAGGCAAACCGCGCAGCACCACACAGAACCGCACTGCACCGCACTGCACTGCACCGCACTCCACCCACCCACCTGTCTCTGCACGGCCTCCTTGGCTCGCGAGGTCCTGGCGGCGTGGATGGTGTCGTACACCCCGTCGTAGTCAAACACTGATGGGTCCTCCGCCATCGCCGCCTCGTGCTGCTGCTCCGTCTGCACCCAAAGAAATCAAGGCGGCGTTAGGAGAGAACGGATAGGATAAACGAGGGACGTGGAAACGGGAAAAAAACAAAAAAAAACAAAAGGAAATTAAAAATAAATGCTGACAGACGCTAGACGACGGACGCTAGTGCTGCACTTGATCGCAAGGTCCGACTCTTCTTGAAACTCAGTGGGTAACCTAGTTGCTATCGTCGTCTCCGTTTGAAACTCTGCCTCGAAGTATCCTCCTACTCGCCGTCGTCGAGCCTACTCGCCGTGCCGTCGCCTATACGCCTGCGGGGCGTTATACCACAAGCACCCGAAGATCCCGCCGCACCTCACGCTGGCTTCGCTTCTTGAGGTTCTGCCTCGCAATGTCCGCCTCCACGCCGTCTTCGTCGTCGTCGTCGCCGAACAGCGACTGTAGCTTCGCATCTCGCACGGGTGGTAACGGCTTCGCCGCCGTCGCAGGGCGATGGCTCTGCGGCTTGCGGCGAATTTCAAGGCCGTATTTCACGGGCTTCGACCGGTCCATGGCGAAATTGATCGAAAGGTGGTAAAAAACAGAATAAAATATGTAGAAATTAGGAGCCGTCCGTAGCGTTGACTGGCGGATGGTCACCCTACGGTAGCGATCGCGGGCGCCGCAGCAGTTGGGATTTACAGAGGAATGCCTATTGCAAACTACCGAAGGCCACGAAAACCATGACGACCTACCAAAGGCCACGAAACAACTTGGGTGAGGGTGGCAATAAGGTGATCCGTTTGTAGTGTGCTGAGAGGAGATCAATCTCAGGGATGGATAACAGGTTACTTGTTGGGTAATGTTGGGTAATGCAATTGAGTGAGAACGAAGATTGCACTATCGAAGCAAAACAGTACATTGAATGAAGGAGTGAGCGAATGTTATATAGCGAACTAGTGGGGTAACGGTAACGCGTGAAACATGGGGTGCGCAGCGCCGAGGTTGGGAATTGTCGAGGCGGAGGACCGGGGCGCGGGTTATCAACCGAGCCGTGAGGTTGGGTCGCGATGTGAACAGTGGCGGGAACAGTGGTCGAGGAGAGTGTCGCGAGTGGTAACGGTTTACTGTTGGCGGGAACAGTCGTGTACGCGGTAAACATGGGCACTCCGATAGCAGGCTAACGGTATACTACAACGATGGAAATGATTTTTTGCATAGTTAATAAAAGAATGACGCATAGTGTTACGAACAGTAAATTAAGAAAGAACACTGTGCACTCTTGATAGCAGCAATCGAGTCATGCAGTACCGAGGCTGAAGACGAAGAGGCGGAATGGCGCGAATGGTCGCGCACGGTTACGGAGCATCTGGACCGTCAGGGCAGACATCATCAGGCAGCAGCAGTGGCGAGGATTCTGCCCGAGCAGTTAGTAACCGTCTGGAGTTGCATGGTTGGATTTCGCTGCAATAAGGGAATGTACCCCTTAGAGTACATGGCTAGCCTAGGTCGATTCGTATTCCCTGTACTCTTATTTATACGTTTGTATTTGCATGTTTTAATTTATCTCAGTCATTTACATTCACTATGATCTGAGGTCAAGGGCCCACCACTACTACACGACTTGCGAACCTTCCTGAGGTGATCCCAGGGGCGATCTATGTCAGAACTAGCAGTAGAAAGTAAGAATGAAGAAAGGAGAGGTTCACTAGCAAGCAGTTGAGTACATATAGGAAACCCTAGATTGGGCTGTACTCGCTATAGAGTACCCCACTGCAGGCTAGACAAATACAACATTCTGACACACCCCCATAGCCAAAGTGGGGTGTAATCAGCACAGTGAGCAGGTATAGCAGGAGTTCACAATAAGAAGCAAAGCTAGAGGTAATCACAGCGGGCAAGTGAGGAGGAGGAGGGACTGTGAGAGGAGAGAAGATGAGAGACGGCGGCTGAAGCTGCAGACACACGGGCAACAGGAGCTGCTGGCACAGTGGCTACCGGGACAGTGCGCCCCGGACTACTGGAGTAACTGGCTCACGGGCTACGACGAGCTACAGGAGCAACGGACCCTCGGGCGACAGGCGCAGCAGACTCTCTGGGCTACCAGGACAGTGCGCCCCGGACTGCAGGTGCTGCGGACGACAAGACAGCAGCCTCCGCTCAACCTCCTCCAACTGTCCCACACACCCCCCACACACCCACTGCTTCACTCCTAACTCCACTTGCACGTCACCCCCCTAGTACCACTCCTTCGGCTCCCACACACCCACCCCCCTCAGCGGCAGCTGCAGCACTGGGAGACGGAGGAGGAGGAGGAGTAGGGGACGACGCACAGAAACTGCACCCCCATACCCCCCACCCCCAAACCCTAATTCAGGAGAACGGGCAGCAGCAGGGGTGGGGCGCCGTCAGAAGCACGGGGGACAGCGGGCAGCGCAGGGGCAGAGAAAACAGGGCGCCCACGGGCCTGGCGCAGCCCGTACGAACCGCGTGCGGGCGGCCCGAGGCGCGCCCTGGCCTGGCGCAGTCCGTACGGGCCGCGCGCGGGCCTGGCGCTGCCCGTACGGGCCGCGCGCGGGCCTGGCGCAGCCCGTACGGGCCGCGCGCGGGCCTGGCGCAGCCCGTACGGGCCGCGCGCAGGCTGTACGGGCCGCGCGCGGGCCCTACGCAGGTCGCGCAGGCCGCGACGGGCGACGGGGGGCGACGCGCGGGTCCCGGTCGCCCGTCGCAGCGCCTCCCGGGAGCGACGCGCGGAGTGACGGGGCAGAAAGCCGCCGCGCGCCTCGGGGCGCACGGCGGGCAGAAAACCGCCGCGCCTCGGGGCGCACGGCGGGCAGAAAACCGCCGCGCCTCGGGGCGCACGGCGGGCAGAAAACCGCCGCGCGCCTCGGGGCGCACGGCGGCCAGAAAACCGCCGCACGCTCCGAGCGCGCGGCGGGATGAAAAATCCGTCGCACGCCACGGGGCGTGCAACACACAGGGTAGCAGTAGCAGCGGAAGCAGTGAGGTGGTGGGCCCACCCACAGGATCGACCCAAGGGGATCGACCTGCTCTGATAGCATGTCAGAACTAGCACTAGAAAGTAAGAATGAAGAAAGGAGAGGTTCACTAGCAAGCAGTTGAGTACATATAGGAAACCCTAGATTGGGCTGTACTCGCTATAGAGTACCCCACTGCAGGCTAGACAAATACAACATTCTGACAATCTATCTTATGATCGCAGCATGGTATGAGAGCGACTTAGGGAACCTTCCCATTGCCACCTCCGAAAAAATCGGCGAACTAAGGTGGCGTCCGGCACACGCTCACGCGTAAAGATGGCCGGAGGATCTAAAGGTCAGACAAATCTGACCGCTAAAGCGCAGTCCAACCCGACTGCGACAAACGGGGAGACGACGACGATCGGTACCGCCGCCCTCGCACAACTGCTTCAGCGACTTTCAACCCTGGAGCAAGGACTCCAGACATTGCGGAATGGCGATGCGGGAATATCTTCCCAACCCACTCAACCGGCCTCGAACGGCCAAGATACCGCCCCGCACACCTTCTCTCTCAACACAAATGGCTCAACACCCAAGACCCCCCGTCCCAGCGACGAAGAAATTCTCTCAGCTCAATCAAGGTTTTTGAGCACATAAAAAATAAAGACAAGTGTCTGCTTTGACGGCAAGGATTTTTATACATGGAGCTTTGAGCTGGAGCTGCTGCTGCAAAACGCGAAGATATTCCATTATTTCGACGGGAGTTACGCGAGGCCCTCTGAAGACACCATTGACGCCAGGGCGCAATACTACAGCGAGTCGCTGATGGCGTATGGCGTTTTACTGCGCAACATGTCATCGGCGGAGCAGCTGGGAATTCGTTCCTACAAAACTACATCAGCTCATGCGCTTGACGTCTGGCGGCACCTCAACGGTGTATATCAACCGAAGGATTCGGTTTCATCGAGCCGCCTACTCCAGCAGCTACTGGAGACAAAAATGGCCCCTGGGGAGAAGGCCAACAGCTACATTAATCGTTGCCAGAGCTTACGCGATCAAATCGCAAAATTGGGAAGCTCGATTTCCGAAGAAATCTTCGTGAATATCGTGCTCGCAGGACTCGGCCCACGAAAGGCGACCCTGCAAGGCGCTTCTTTGGCAACAGGGCGCTGTCTCGGAAGCAGCCCTTTGCGCCGCCCTTCTCGTCGAACAAAGAGACATGGACCAGCAGCGACCAGCGCCGCGACGAGACCGGGAACGTCTCTCCTTTTAGGCCGACAACACAGAAGAGCGAAGACCTCGGCGCCTTTACTGCAAAATATGCAGAAATTTTGGGCACTTGGCAGAGCGATGCAAATTCCGCTCTCGCCCTCGCCAGACCAATCCAAGCACCTGGTCCGGCCGTCAAGAGGCACGCAACGACACGCGTCAAGCCCAGGGGTACCAACCCCCACCGCGCAACCTGAACCCAGGAGGTCAGCACCAGCATCAGCAGTCATCGCAACCTGTCCCCACTCGCAACGTCATCAGCAACATGACTATGACCGACACAAGTGGATCTCACCGTCGCTGCGTGTGCACGCCGTCACCCGAGCCAACACGCCATCCGATCGGGGCGTTCACCAACAACAATCCGTTTACCCCCCGACGCGACTTCAGCGACGATGACGACCAGGATTGGAACCTCCCAATCCCGCTGCTTGAAAGCCCCCCGCATGTCCCCGATTCGCGGGCGGCTCCTCTCGACTAGATCTCGCGCGAAGAATTCTTAAAATTCGACACTCCACACACCGTCACGCCGCGATTGGCGCTGCTCGCGTGCGATGACTGCAAAAGGTACAACACGTGGTACTTTGATAGCTGTTGCGGGCAGCATATGGTCGGCTCCGAGCGTTTTGTCTTTAACGCCGTTTCGACTCCCACGGTCACCTACGTCACCGTGGCGAACAACACGCGTTTGCGCGCAAGCGCGCAAGGCATCGTCGTGCTAAAGGCGCACGGGAGCCGCACACACATCACGCTGAACAATGTCTTAATCGTTCAGAATCTGCGCTTCAATCTCCTCTCGGCAGTGCAGCTCATGGATTGCGGGGTTGAACTCAGCACAGACCTCCGCACGGGTGACATTCTCCTGCACTACACGGCGCCGAAAAAGGCGCGCAGGTAGATCGGACGAGCACATTCGGAGAACGGTGTGTACATCCTCGACTTCGACATTCCCGACTGCAGCGGCGACACGGATGACCTCATTGACCTCATCCCACTCCGCTTCGAAGAAATTCACTGCTCGGACTGGAAGCATCCAGATGGGAGGCCCTGGGTGCTGCATCATCCGCACCCTCGCGAAGTCGCGCTCCACTACCCTGGGCCCGATGTCGTATGCAGGGACTGCCACATGCTGACTGCCTCGACAAGCGCGATAGCCGGACGGGGACTCGCCGCAATCGCAGAAGCCGAGCGACTCGCGCCGCTTGAAGAAGGCATGTCGACCATGGAACTTGAGATCGCGACGCGCAGCATCTTCGGAATGGAGGAACACCCCCTCCCCGGACCGGCCTCGCAACATCTCCAAGGGATCCTGCGTGGCACAGG